TACAGTTCCAAGTCGATGGATGTTTCGAGATGGGATATCGAATAATCCATAAAAGACTTGCACATAGTTTGTATGCTTGTTGGACAAGAATGTTGCATTCCATCAACATTAGCGTAAGACGTAAGTACATTTATGTGGGTGCTTGTTAGAGAACAAGTTCACTGAACATGACCGTATGAAAATTCTTAATGAAGAATTTATTCAGTCGAATAAGAATTTTCATGTTACAATAGTACATGACTAATCCTAAGACTTGAGGCACAATGGTAACTTTGTGCATATTACATTCTACTTTGATTTATCCTTTTGGTAGCTAGCACTATCGTTTAAAGGGATAAGTTGGGTATTATGTTAATATGTATGGAAGTTTGTTAGTGGCCAATAAAGGATTCGACACTTATGAAGATAAGTGAATTTCCTATGTGTTTCATAGTTATTAATCCAAAGTCCTTGGCCAAGGCAGAGATGAATAGAGATTCATAACCGGGTTAATACACTTTGAAATAGAATCATAGTTATTAAGTCAATTTGGGTTTCGACAAAATCATACCCAAGACTTAATCGGGAAATTAGATGTCGAAAGGATTTTACATGTATGGAGTTGTAATTGAAATAGGTTTACTCGCTATTCACTTAATACTAGATTCATACTGCTTGCTAGGTGTTACTATGATATGTGGGTTCTAGAATTAAAGAGTTAATTCAAGAATAAGAGTTAATGTGATTAACTCAAATTACAAAGTGTTGTAAACCCACTACTAGTATTAAGGTGAACCTAAAAGGTCACACCTATTATGAACAAAGGTGAAAAATGTATTTCTAAAGAGTTAGAATTAATTGACAATATCTAATTTGATTAGATGTCAATTAAAGGAATATGTTAATCAATAAGATTGATTAATTACATTTTGGATATTACTTTAGTAATTAAGGTAATTACTAAATTAATAAAGTTGAATTTTAAAATAGGATTTTAAATTTCAAATCCAAAATAATAATAATATGATTATTATAATATGGATGAAATTGGGAAATGAATATAATAATAAAGTCTTAAGAAAGATTCTTAAGATTTATTATTATATTATCTTTAAATATGATTTAAAGATTAAAATAATAATTATGAATATAATAGATGGTGGGTAATGGTGGTTATGAACAACCTAACATATCTTATTATTTTCAAAGTCAATAGTTAGTAAATACTATTTAAATAAAATTTGATTTTATTTAAATATTACTAAATGTTGATTATTTTATGCTAAAATGTTTAGTATAAATAGATGCAAAATGGTTTTGCATTTGCTAATTGATTTTGGCTAAATTTCTAAAGTGTTAGAAAGAGAAGAAAAGTTCTTCACAAAACAAGAAAGTGTTCTTGAAAATTTCCCAAAATAAATCCATATAAATTCCTATACAAGAAAACCGAGACATTTCTACTAGCGAAGAAAGGTCGTCGGAACCGGGCTTCATAGGGTGGATACAATTAGAGGGAAAACACTTGGATTCCTCAAGCGAGTAACCTCAAGCAGTTGACGTTACAACCGGGAACCGATTCCCACAATCCACATCTTTGTTGAAGGAGTTCAAGACACTCGGTAAATATTTATACTGTATTTACTTTATAGTAACAAATCAAAATTTGTATATGATGCATGTTTTAAAGATGACGATCAGTTAATTCGCAATTAGTATGTACGGGTGTTGTATTTATTCGATAAATACTTACTTGAAAAATTTTAAATTCCGCTGCGTACAGCCCGTACGGTACTAGCGAACACAACAGAGAGAAGTCCAAAGGGTATATGTTTTACTGTCCTAATCATAGTTCTAGAATCGTTGAAACGGGCAATGCTAGGTTTATTGAAAATGGTGAAGTTAGTGGGAGTGCTAAAGCGACTGTGGAAATTAATGAAATAAGGGTTGATGTTCTATTACCCATTAATGTTCAGTTGTTCCAAATATTGTTTCACAGCCTCATGAACAAAATAATGGTGGACAAAATTTGGATGAAGTAATACCCCATGAAGAGACTAACTTCCCACCAACTAACACAAATGAACCACGTGGAATAGCATTAAGCAAACCTACAAGGGTGAGAAGATCTGCTATTTCGGATGATTATGTGGTTTATTTGCTAGAGTTGGATTATGATACTAGCATTGATGAAGATCCTATTTCGTTTTCACAAGCCATTAACAGTGACGAGTCTCATAAATGGATTGATGCTATGAAAGAAGAGTTAAACTCTATGGCTAAAAACAATGTTTGGGATCTAGTAGAATTGCCAGACAGTTCAAAACGAGTTGGGTGTAAATGGGTCTTTAAGACCAAACGCGACTCGAGTGGCAATATCGAACGACATAAAGCTAGACTTGTTGCCAAGGGTTATACTCAGAAAGATGGCATTGATTATAAGGAGACTTTTTCACCTGTTTCTAAGAAGGATTCTCTAAGGATCATTATGGCTTTAGTAGCTCAGTATGATTTAGAGTTACATCAAATGGATGTGAAAACAGCCTTTCTTAATGGGGACTTAGATGAGGAAGTTTATATGGATCAACCCGAAGGGTTTTCCATAGAAGGAAAGGGTCACATGGTATGTAAACTTAAGAAGTCAATATATGGACTTAAACAAGCTTCCAGACAATGGTATATTAAGTTTAATGATACCATCACGTCTTTTGGTTTTCAAGAAAACACTGTTGATCGGTGTATTTACCAGAAGATCAGTGGGAGAAAGTTTATATTTTTGGTTCTATATGTTGACGATATCCTACTTGCTGCTAATGATTTGGGAATTTTGCATGAGACTAAAGATTTTCTCTCAAAGAATTTTGAAATGAAAGATATGGGAGAGGCATCCTATGTGATTGGAATTTCTATATTCCGGGATAGATCACAAGGAATGTTGGGATTGTCTCAGAAAGCTTATATCGAGAAAATTCTTGAGAGATTTGGTATGAACAATTGATCACCAAGTGTTGTCCCATTACAGAAAGGGGATAAGTTTAGTCTTATGCAATGCCCTAAGAATGATGTGGAACGAAAGAGTATGGAATCTATTTCATATGCTTCTGTTGTGGGCAATTTGATGTACTTGCAAACTTGCACGAGACTTGATATTAGCTTCGCTGTGGGAATGCTTGGCCGATATCAAAGTAATCCTGGAATGGATCACTGGAAAGCTGCAAAGAAAGTGATGAGATACCTTCAAGGGACGAAGGATCATATGCTCACGTTTAGAAAATCTGATCGCCTTGAGGTGATTGGATATTCAGATTCAGATTTTGCTGGGTGCCTTGACAGTCGCAAATCAACGTTTGGCTATGTGTTTCTCCTCGCCGAATGAGCAATATCATGGAAAAGTGCCAAACAGTCTGTCATAGCTGCATCTACTATGGAGGTTGAATTTGTAGCTTGTTTTGAGGCTACAATTCACGCATTATAGCTGCGGAACTTTATTTCGGGACTTGGGGTTGTCGACACCATTACCAAGCCGCTGAAACTGTATTGTGATAATTCCGCAGCAGTTTTCTTCTCCAAGAACGACAAATATTCCAAAGGTGCAAAACACATGGAATTAAAGTATTTTGTTGTTAAGGAGGAAGTTCAGAAACAAAGAGTGTGCATTGAACATATAAGAACGGACCTTATGATTGCCGATCCGTTAACTAAAGGTCTACAACCAAAGACATTTAAAGAACATGTACATAGAATGGGTCTTGGTTGTATTGATGATTGATTACGATGATGTTATGGCACACTCTTGAGCTCATTGATGTTATGTTTCTGACTATTATCGAATTTCTTGTTCATTATGATTTTTGTATACATTATATTTAGAACAAGAAATGAATGTCTTCATGACAATTAAGTTGACATTATGATATTTATATATAATTATGAAACTTGATGTGTTAAACTATTAGTGTAGTAGTATGTGGAAGGAAGTATGCGAATCGAGAGTGTACAACCGCCATAACTCTCACTATATGGTTTATCATGTCATAGTTTATTATGATGTATGGCATAATGAGATTTGTTTAATACGCACCTAATGTTATACTATTAAATTAAGGGCTTTCGGACCAAGTGGGAGAATGTAAGAATATATGTGGCCCGAAAGCATTGGGCTCACATTTAATTATCCTCTTGGGCTAGGTTTTTATGTAATAGTCAAACAAATCTAAGTCATTAATCTGGATATTTGATGGACGTACCAGATCTAAAGCACCCCTATATAAATTAGTCCTCTCTCCTCCTATTAGGGTATACAGTCTTTATCCCATCACTTTTCTGCTACGTTAAGAGAAGGTCAGGAGGGAGAAACTGATTTAGATCTATCAATCGATTCAATTTCGTGTGATCATCAAGATCAAGATCACAATTATGTTGTCTTCCGCATCAAGTAAGTATTTCGTATACACAAATTATTTATTCAAGATCCTATGATGATGTTTACAGTTCTCGCCTCGTACAGATAAAATGGTTTGTGATATGTTTGTTACCTAAATAATTGGCTTGTGATATGTCATGTTACCTAAATAATTGGCTTGCCAATTATTAACATCCACGAATTCCACAAAATCTGTAACAGAATTGTAGTAAAAAATGAAATCTTATGTCAGCGTGTGAATTGTACTGCCAAAAAAAAGGAATACATGCGGAACAGATTTCCTAAAAATCCTCACAAATGATTTTATAAAAAATCGATTTCATATATTCGGCCATTAAGGAATTTTTGGATGTTTTAAAATGGTTGACATATTCAGTAAATCAACTTGATTGACTGACATTTTTTTTAAACTTTTCTCATTTAATTTAATTTATTGACCTCTCTTTTTCAATATATATAAATATAAATAAAATTATATTAATTAAGAATTTGATAGAGACTTTTTTTAATAATAGGAAATCTATTTCTTCTCTCTCCAACTAAAAGTCGTCCAATTAATTCTCTCTCCAATTAATCTCTCTTCGCGATTTGTTTTCTTTCCAAATAAAACTCATTCAATTAATTCTCATTATTTCTTCCGCGGATAGTCCCATGTCAATGATGTCATCACCGGAATATTCCTTCTCCGGTCACAGGTACTGTTATCGGAAGCCTTTTCCGATTCATCGAGGTGCGAAAAATCGGAATTGGAGTCCGATTTTCCATTATTTTCATAATTTTATAATTTTTAGTTTAAACTGGCGGATTGGTTTAATCGAATAACGTTTCCGGTTGTGGAAACTTGAGCTGGCTTCATGTATGGTGTCTCAATTTTTGTTGCAGATTCAAGTGTGTTTAAGAATGACAGTAAAATGATTGTAGTATTTTGGACAGTATGAAATTGATTTATGAATTAGCGCATCTCGTTCGTGCTTCCCTTTCCTCGTCTTACAGTTAACCAATCCTAAAAAAGCATCGAAGTAGTTGCGTTTTTTTCTGCGTAGAGGAGAATGAATTCACTTTTATAATTTTATTGTGCTTTTTTTAATCATATTTATTATAGGATTGATGGGTTGAGCTGTGAAATTGAGTTTGAGTTTTTGTAAGGAATTATTCTGAGTTTCTTGCTATGTCTGAGCTTTCGCGTTTCATGAGCATAAGGGGCGGTTGATTTATCTCACATATGATTAGCTCAATTTATTGAATGTGACCATTTATTCCCTTGACGTGAGCTTCTACTGTTCTAAAGGAAATATTATATTGTTCCTATTACTTCTGAATAACAACATTAGATATGGAAAAAACTTGTAGGAGATAGCTGCAGAGGAGGGTAGCCTCTTTAAACAAAGCTGCGGGAATTTCTGGTAAGTTCAGCTATAGGAAGGTCCTTCAATTTGATTATAATTCAATTTATGATGATCGTAAGTAGAATGATTGACATGAGCAATAAGACCAGAAGTGGTTAGGACATGTTTAAGCACGGGTTTGATTCACTTTGCATGGGTAGAGCAACTTCTTAAACTAAACATAATGAATAAATTTGAGCAAACTTAGATCTCATCTGCCAAATTTGCGCAGTTTATTTTACTTGTAGCACAAAGATTGTTGTCCTCCACTTGAAACAGCCGATTAACAGGTCCTATATTGGCAGTACCGAAAATGCCATACCTCGTACGCGGGCATTTGTTCATCGGCAACATTGGAGATGCTGCAGAAGTTCTCCAGAATGGAAGTGATGACATCACACACATACTCTCGGTCCTAAGCTCAGCTTCCATTTCTTTCTTCTCTGAGTGGTGAAGTGGGATTTCAATCTCAACTAAAGAAATCCGGGAGGTTTTTGTTGGGGACTCTGATTCAGAAAATGGGTCCAAGAGCGCACTCTCACCGGATCCTCTACTCACTCGAGTATGCAGGTAACGATTTGAAGATTGTGAGGATGGCAGTGCCTCTGAGGGATATGGAGAGCGAGGACTTGCTCGATTATTTGGATGCAGCTTTGGATTTTATCGAAAATAGTCGGAATGATAATTCGGTTTTGGTTCACTGTTTTGCAGGTGTATCAAGAAGGTATAAATTATTACATTGATCTGCATCAGTTTAGAACAAAGAATATCAATACTAATAAAAGCTAGTGCTGCTGAATCTTGTCAGTTTTGTTATTAGAGTTGTGCTTTCTTTAGTTCACAATTGCTCATTGTCGTTCTTCTTGTTATTGCCTTATAATATTTAGCAAAGGAATACATTGTAATTGGTTTTGTTTTGTTCTCTGCTTTGTCAAGCCCTTAAGGGTTTACACCCTTCTTTGCCTGTGTTCGTTGCAGTGCAGCTATCATTACAGCATGCCTGATGAATAGTGAACAGCTCACTGTAGATGGTAAAGAGTTGCAAATATCAATGAGTTTGCTTCTTTCTATCGTTAGTTTATTATTTTCTAATCTCAAGTTTTTTTTCCACGAACAAATTGGTCATTAGATGCTATTGAGTCTTTGAGACAGAGCTGTGAATCTGTATGCCCAAATGATGGCTTCCTGGAGCAGGTGACTTAAATGGGACTCATCTATCATAAAAGTTAGTTAACTTCAGTTTATTTATAATCTCCTCTCGAAATTTGGTTGCAGTTGAAAATGTTTGAAGAAATGGGTTTTAAGGTGGATCGTGATAGTCCAATATACAAGCGCTTCCGCCTAAAAGTATTAGGTTCGTATCTTTTGCCTGAACAATTGTGCCTTTTTATTACATTACATTGTGTACAATGTACTAGTTCATTTGAATTTTTTTTTTCCTATTGTCATAGTTCCTGGTTATCTTTTTTCTTTAATAAGGTATGTATGATTTTTTCTACATCGAATGAAATAAACCTCAAAACTTGACAGGTGAGACCTATAACCGTGGAGAGAAAATAGATATTTCCAAGTTCGGGCGTGACCCGGGCTTCCCTGCTGAAAAACGTTCTTCCAATTTCGAAAGATTGACCAATAACGAAGCTCGGCCTAATACTCCTGCTTACCGTTGCAAGAAATGCCGCAGGCTAGTTGCCTTGAAAGAAATGTCGTGGATCATGTTCCGGGAGAGGGCGAAACGTGCTTCAATTGGCGTAAAAGGAGTGGTACTTTTAGCAGATCTGAAGATAACGAGTGTTCTATCTTTATCGAGCCTCTTTGCTGGATGAAAGCTGGTACATTTTTTTTTTTTTTTTGATCGAGTTTTTTTTTTGATCGAGTCTTTCTCATAGGGAAACTTAGTACGTAAAGTCGTGAACTTAATCATGATAGTGAACTTTCTTATGGTACACACAAGTTTGCACATTTTCATCATAACTGCTGAAATGGGACTTTCACACTATCACTTCTAAACGTAGACGCGCTTCAAGTAAAGTTGTGATGGTTTTGACTCGAGTTTCTTACTCAGGAACCAAACCTGATTGATTCTAGCTTTTACTAGCTTTACTGCCTAATTGTTTTGAAAATTATTCAGTTGAAGAAGGTGGTCTGGAGGGAAAGCTATCGTGCATCAACTGTGAAGCTCGTTTGAGTTACTTCAACTGGTCCGGCATTCAGTGCAGTTGCGGAAGCTGGATTACACCTGCATTCCAGCTTCACAAAAGCCGAGTCGACATCAGCACTATCTAGAATCTTCTTCCCGGTTTTTTTATCCGATTTGTGGCTTTTTTTTCATGTGATTTGACTTTCCCTAGCAAAAGTATAATCGAAGTTATATATCTGCGACTACATTTTGTCCAGAGTACTTGGCAGTGTAATACTGTGTACTGTCCTTTTGGAGATTTGGCGACTTATTGGAAAATTTGGTCTTATCTCTTTGAAGTGATGAAAATGAAAATTGGATTTTTGAATGACGTCTTCTTTTCATTGGTCTTATCTTGTACATTTTACATGATGTACTAAATTGATCAAATTTAGAACTTTTAAATTCAAAATCACAGTCAAACCAAATAAGATAGAGAATGTGGTAATACCATTGTTTTAAATAGCTCGCTATGTAGCTCGATATTGCTCGTTATATAGCTTATTTTCGGAAAAATGCAACGTAACTGTATATATTTAACGTTTTTCACAAAAAGCTTGCGCGAAATGTCGAAATGATACGCTTTCTTACGTTATTTTGCGTTATTTCACGCTATTGTGCGCTAAATTGCGCTATATTTCTACGACATTTGAACAATAAAATATTCAAAAACTCTTATTTTTAGGGATCATAATCATATTTACAAATGACAACTAAAAGCTAAAAATTTTGATATGATTTCAAATTAAAAATTTGATAATGCAAAGTCCTAAGTTGAATATTGCTATATTTATCGGTCCACTTTTGTTATATCAATTTATGTTTCAATATTTGACATTTAAATAAAGAATAAAAAATTCATATCTAATGGTTAGAATTAAATTATAATTAAATAAAATAATAATAATTAAAATGCATATATTTAAAATTATACTATGACTTACCTCATTATATTTTCGTTCTTTGTTTTCCTTTTAAGTATATTCAATTTATTATTTAATATTTATATTATGATGATATTTACATTAATTATTTGTAAGAAATCATCCTTAGATGTTATTTTTAAGTAATTCAAATATTATGATAAGTTTTGTAATCAACCATTCAGTTTTATTATATGCAAATATATTTGTATTATTTTATATATATATATATATAATTATACCCAAATAAGTTACGCAATACGCTACGCAATCGCATTATGCATTTTAAACCACTGGGTAATACAAGTCCAACAACAATCAAAAGTCCCACAAGTTAAAACTTCCTACTATACACTAACACTGCTATCAGGTCTACAGCTAAGTCAAAGTCCCTCTTAACTAAATAAATGCAGAGGCAAGAAGAAGAAAAACATATGATTTTGTCGACTGGGGACAAAATGTTTCTCAGCTCAGAAAATCCGATAACTCATTGCTCGAGATGAATACACCATTAAAACCAATACATAACTCGTGTCAATGCCCTTGAGATTCGAGAAGGATGTTAGTGGCAGTATTAACGTCATTTCTTGCTCGTATGAGAGCCTGTCTTGCCGAATTCCGGTCAAAGCCCATTGAAACGAGTGTGGCTATTAAGTCCTCAGGTGGTTCAGTCGATGATAAAATCGCTGGATAGTTTGCCTGAAAGTCATTGAAAAATGAAGGATTAATTATTATAAGGATGGTTTCACATGATTTATGTAATGACTACAAAAAGACCCAGTATACTTGTAAAATTCTAATAATAAAATAAAAAATCGAGCTTTCTTGTTCTAAAAAAAAAAATAAAAAGATCTACCTCAATCTGGCGACCGGTATTGGGCGATGACCAGGTGGTGGGTGATGTGTTACCAATAGATGGCAAAGACAGTCGTGAGAAAAATGAAGCGATAAATTCGGGAAACTGAAACAGAAAAGCATAAGCTAGTCAGCCATTAGCTCGATAAAATATCAGAGAAAAAAGTAAAAGAAACAAAGCAGTGGCTATCTATAACTCCGGGAAACTGAAACAGCAAAGCCTAAGCTAGTCAGCCATTAGCTCCATAAAATATCAGAGAAAAAGTAAAAGAAGCAAAACAGTGGCTATCTATAACTCAGTAAACAAAATTTCTAGGATAATATATGCTCTCCATGTGAAGCATTAAAAAGGTACTTTTTAAACACACAACCAAACATAATAATGTTTTAACTGATAAAGGCCCAAACTTTATTATGCAAATGCAACACGTTTATGCACTCTCCATGATTTTTCTGTAAATTAGCTGGGCAGTTATGCGTAGTGATACCCACAAAAAAATGAAGATAAAAAAATGAAAACCATTTATATCACTGATATATAAGTTGGAAGAATATTACGAAAGGGGTTAACGTAAGAAAGGGTCCCATTTGCTGAAATGAATTCTGACAAAAGACGCTTCGTAACAGACAAGTTTAGCCTCATAAAACTGATCGACTTAAGATTAGGTGCAACCTTCAGCTTGCGTATGTTGAAAACATTCAAGCGGTACAGGGAACCAGCGAGAATACCGCAAAGCCCTGGCAGCAAGGATCTTTTCCAGGATGATAAAAATAACTGTAAAGTACCAAGTAACGAAAATTAATAAAGAAAATGTTAAGATGATAGAAAATAACTAGCACCTCATCGTGTATATAGCCATAATGCTCATAATTACCTGCATTCCAGCTAAATAAATAAAAGTCTTGTCTGAGAAGTTCAGGCTAAACACACGAAACTGCGTCGAAACAGGAATGTCGAAATAAAAGGGAACAAATGAAGAAAATATAAGGCCATAGGGTCCACATGTGAGTATACTCAATGAGGGATCTGCCAGACAAATACATCCGCATCATCAATCTACAGGAATGTATGTAATATACATGTAATTTTTCCCATTACATTATACAAGCGAAGAAGTCAATTTCTATTGTGCAAGAAGTTTGAATAAACAAAGGAAGGACGGATATTATTGAGACTGAAAAGGAGACATACAAGTATACAACAATTCTATGAAGAAAATAAATACAAAAGAAAAAGGATACTTGGCTTCTTACAAAAATTAGCCAGGAACTTCCATTAACATCACATAAGGAAGCAACATACAAGGTAAGAATCAATGAAAATTGGAACCCATAAGAGATTAGTTCTATCTATAATAACTACATCGAATATAAGCTCTAGTGACAACTGACAAATTAACAGTTACTGATTCAAAAAAAAATACAATCTCAGAGACTTACTGTAGCGAGAATTTCTTAATAGAGTAAAATTCTAAGGGAAAGATTTATCCCACATTTCAACATTTTGGATGTCATATGACCCTTGTATAATAAAGTCTTAACGTTACGAATTACAATGTTTATAGTAAAATGTAAACTAGTATTACGAGAAGGTACAGTTTTACGATCATTTATCAGGAGGGTTTTCTCCCCACAAGGATGTATTCACAAAAGCATTACATAAGTTCCTTAAAACTAGCATATAAGAAAAAAGCATATAGAAGCCACTGATGCAAAAGAACAAGAACGATCGAGAGAAAAGAAATGACAAGGAAACATCACCACACCTTTAAGTAGCCATTGTGCAATGACTTCAAGCAGTAAAGACATGATGACCGAAAAAAGGATAAAAACCTGCAGGAAAGTACTTCAGCTGATTGTTCAATTGAACATAGTGCTAACTAATTTATCACTAATACAACTCATAATCACTTTGCTGAAACTTAAGTCGAAAAATGTACTACATAGTACACCGTGACACTTCATTCTTGCACAACATGTTACTTTCTCCAATAATACAACTTATAATTTGGCATATTAACTTCATACGGGAACAGACAAAAGAAATTGTGCTGGAACAAGAACTCACAGTGTGTTTATTAGAACCTATTTGCCTCTCAAACACACGAAAGTAGTACAGAAGACAAACTCCGAAAATCAGTTCTGGTGTAGATGAAAAGCCAAAAACTGAAACTATGAGCTTCCATATTTGAAATTTCTTGAAAATATCCTGCCATCAGTAAAGATTCACGTAAGGATGCAATTAATCATAGAAACATGCTGCACCATATCGACTTTGTAAAACATTAAACTTATATACCACGAGCTGGTAGCTCAAGTGGTACCTATTGTTGGACTAGTTGATACAGGGTTCGATCTCTGTAACTTGCAGTTTCTTAAGAATTTCCCCTCCCTGCCAGTCCCCCTGTAGCTACTAAAAAAATCACTAAATTTATATAAAAAAGCATTAATAGTAAGGGTACGTTCTTCTCTTTTGTTCCTCTATGACTACAAGATGTACGTAAAGAAGACAAGCGGAAAAAAATAAAGGCACAGACTCGTGCAGATAATGACTAGGGAAGAACCCTCCATTTGGTTAAGTACATGGGTACGTATGGGAACAGCACGAAAGAAATTACAAAACAAAGACCTCTGTTCTTATTATAGAGTTGAGCTGGAGGCTTAAGGGCTAAAAGGATGCGTCTGGTGCTAAAATATGATTCTTTGTATCAAAGTAAAATTGAGCTTTCGTAAGAGTGTCCCACACAATCACGTTCAAATATACCAAGACTATTATGGTAACCTGCCAGAAAAAATATGAGTAATTCAGAGATAGCACTACCTAAAAGATACTTTTTTTTGTCATTATAATAACTGTTGTGCACAAAGAACTTCACTACTGAGATTAGATCATAAACAACAAGTAGTTCGACTGTCTACCCCACTTTATTTTGCCGAAGTTCAACACTCAACAAGCATAATCAAAATCAAAACAGAAAACTTCCAAACTTTACATAATGCATGTACCTCCACCTTCCAACTGGATCCAAGCAAAATAAAAATTCCCAATTGAAATGAGAATTTAAGTTAATAATTCATCACAATAACAAACCAAATTGTATAACAAATCGAATTTTTCCACAGATTAGAAACAGGAAAATGCCTCTCACACCCTAAAATGAAAAGAAAGATAAAAAGAGGGTACCTGATAAGACCAATTTGAAACTCCTAGAGCGACCTTGGATCCCAAATACCACTGTGAAAAGAATACTGGCGATCACTACTACCCTCGTCACCGGCGCATTATCTGTAAACGAATTGTTCAAAAACCTCAAATTCTCCATAACCATAACACAGCTTTTCAAACTTAGAAATCGGAGCTTACTGAAACCAGATGGGCTGCCGTTCATCTTTCAGCGAACCACCCACCTCGCCTGTGGCTTGTATCGATGTATAATTTTGTGTGTATATGAATGAATCGATTGTATATACAGCGCCGTCCGATATCTATTTGTATTTTCTCTCTCTAACTCGCCTCCCTCACTCTCTCTCTCTCTTCTGCAGCTCCTCTTGGGCTTTGGTCTATCGAGTCGTCGCGAACGACTCCAAGGTTGATAGGCGGGTTCGGGCCGACCCGCTTTTAGCCTTTTGTTGGTTGGGTCTGTAAAGTGTAAAAATTTAAAATACAGTATTGAGAAATTTACATACAAAAGTTTTTACAAAATAAATTTAAAAGTTTGTAATTTAAAAGTTAAAACTAACACAGTGCTCCTAGCAACAGGACAATAATGAAGAAACTACAAAAAAGTTAAAACTAACACAGTGCTCCTAGCAACAGGACAAATAATGAAGAAACTACAAAGGAACAGATTAACTTGTCAGCTGGATGTCAGAACAACCTGAAGTGCCAAGTCCTGCATCAATTGGGAGCATTGGCGGATGGACATGTTACTTAGGTGGCCATGGTCCCCCAAACTTTTTTTTTTATACCTAAGTGTATATAAAATATTAAGTTTATAAAATTATTATTGTCCCCTCAACCAATTAACTACATCTACATATATATAGATTAACACTAGTCAAGGCCCATTAAGAATACATTTAAAATAAAATAGGCGAAAATACAAAACTGAACAGCTTAACTACCACTTCTTCTTTTATTATATTATATATTATATTAGTTCTTTAATAATTATAAAACTAATAAACTATTCTAAATCTAAGTAACATAAACAACAACCAGCAACCTCATTCAATTCCAGAAAGACGCTAGCAAGTGGCAAGGTAAAAAGAAAAAAGAAAATATTCACAGAGCATGTAACATCTTTACATAAAAAAAACTGAAATAGCAAAGCATGCAAGATATGCAATTTTTACGGGATCGAAAAGTAATTATAAAAATTATTAACACTTAATCGATTGTTAATGAGTCCCCTTAAAGAAGAAAAAAAAACAATTGTTAATGAGTCTTGTGATATGAATTAATCTCAAACATAATTTTAAAATAGTGAAATCCTATGTCATATCTTTTGTAGAGCATTTTTATTATTTATTTATCTATTTAATATATAATGACATTATATGTCTCATATGTATGTTTGTTCTAAAAAAATTATATATCCTCTCCATAGGTGGTGTTCAGTGGAGTCAAGCCAAAATATCTCATGTTCAAGCTCGTGTTTGATTGATAAATGAGTCAGCTCGGCCTGACTCATTTTTTTTTAAAAAAAAAAGTAAAACCCAACTCAGTTAATGTACAAATTCGATTAATTCGTTTAATTATATAAACAAGTTGAGCTCGAGTTTGTACGAGTCAAACCGAGTTGTACATGTTTGCAGACAGTTTTGTTCGAATAACAACTTTGTCCCCCCTAATTTTTTTTTTTAGATCCGCCCCTGATTGGGAGTCAAATGGTGGAATGTGTAAACATAATCAGGAGATATCTCCTCCAGCTTTATGTACTATACCATAAAATGCAAGTCTCTGTATCTTGGAACCTCAACAACAGAATCCTCCCTTAGAGGCTGCAATACTAGTGGAGTGTGAAATTATGGATTCAGAAGAACTCCAAAAGCAACAACTGGATGGAAGTGAGAACTCCTCTCTAATGAACAAAGGAAAAGAACAGATAATTCAGAAAGGATGGAGGAGATTGTCAAGTCTTCATAGAAGGAATATCAGAAACCAGGAGGAAAAAGAAGGAATACTACCAGCTCAGGCCTCAAGGAAAAGACACAATCTAGCCATGGTAGATGATGAGGCTGTTGATGATGAACTAGTCAAGGAATCTGATCTAAAAAAGCTAAAAATTTCAGAACAACAGGTGGGGGTAGCTAGCCTTGAGTGGCCCCAAGTGGATAAATGAAGACAATGTGGAACTGTAGAGGTTTGGGTGGCCCCTCTACAGTTTCCCAGATTAAGGAGTCTTCTAGACTCCACCACCCGGGGTTGTTCTTTATTTCAGAAACAAAAAAGAAAAAAGAGTTTGTGAAGACTGTCTGTAATAAAATAGGGTTCAAGGAGAGGTGGAGGGCTATTGATCCCCAAGGGCTGAGTGGGAGGCTTTTACTTTTGTGGAGCAGAGAAGTCACAATCAAGCAGATTGTTGAGCATTACTTCTGTTTTGAGGTAGAACTAGAAACTTCTGACAGCAATGATACTTTTTGGATCATCATGGTGTATGCTAGTACTGATAGGAAGGAAAGAGAAGTTCAATGGAATATTCTGGAAGAGGCAAAGGATAAATGGGGGGATAGATGGGTCATTGGAGGTGACTGGAACGAGACCAGAGATAGTAGTGAAAAAAGAGGTGGTAGACTTAAATCAGAGGCAGAGTACAAGGGTTTTAATGACTTCATTGAGAGGATGAGTATGCAGGAAGTCAAGATGTATGGCCACAGTTTCACATGGTTAAACAACAGGGAGGGGGCAGAATTCATTGAAGCCAAGATTGACAGAGTTTTTGGGTCTCTTGGGTGGATGGCTCAACATTCAAATGCCTCTGTGGAAAATGTCTATAGAAGTTCCTCGGACCATAGGCTGTTGACACTCACTGATGAGCTTTCCTCGGGACATGGATTTCTGAGGCGGTTTTATTTTGATAAAAGATGGACCCAGCATAATGAGGTAAAGAAGGTTGTGAGGATAGCTTGGGAAGTCCCACAGTCAGGTACACCTATGTTTCAATTCAAAGAGAAGATTAGAGAAACTAGAGTTGCCTTACTGAAGTGGAGCAGGTTTTTCAAATCAAAAAACGAGAAAGAGAGAATGGAGATATCAGAAAAGCTGGACTTACTGAGTAGACAAGAAAATGACAGAGATTGGCTTGAATGGACAAATTGAGAAGGGAGTTGAATACAGCAAACAAAAAAGAGGATGAATATTGGCAACAGAAGGCTAGGGTTAAGTGGTTGAAAGAAGGTGACTCTAACACAAAATATTTCCATGCCTTGACTATTCAAAGAAGAAATGCCAATGCAATAACCAGATTGATTGATGAGGAATGGAAGATCTGTGAAACAAAAGAAGAAATAGAGGACTGTATATGCTCTTTCTATGAGAAACTGTTTGTTTCTGAGGCATCAGAAGGGGAGTCTGAATTTTTACATCTGATTCCACACACCATTTCTGAAGAGCTGAATCAAACTTTAGTGGCTCCTGTTGATGAAGATGAGATAAAAGAGGCTCTGTTCAGCATGGAGGCATGCAAAGCTCCAGGGCAGGATGGTATGTCTCCTTTATTCTTCCAATTCTTCTGGGATGTTATTAAAAGTGATTTGTGTGATGCCATTTATAGTTTCTTCTCTTTTGGGCTTTTATTGGAAAACTGGAATCATACATTGATTACTTTGGTGCCTAAATGTCTTAACCCCATTTCTCTCAGCCATTTTAGGCCCATTAGTCTTTGTGGAGTGTCTTATAAAATCATATCCAAGGTTTTTACTGTTAGGTTAAAATCTTGCCTTCATCTTTGTGTTAGTTATAATCAAGCTGCTTTCATACCTGGAAGACAACTCCTAGACAATGTAATTGTTGCCCAGGAGGTTATCCATTTTCTTAGTAGGCATAGATCAGGCAAGCAAGGATATATGGCCATTAAATTGGACATGGAGAAGGCTTATGATAGAGTGCAATGGAGTTGTATTTCTAAAATCATGTTGAAGATGGGTTTCCACAGTTCTTTTATTAAATGGGTAATGGCTTGTGTATCTTCCTCTTCTTTTTCTTTTAATATTAATGGGGAGATGAAAGGGTTTATTTCAGCCTCCAGGGGTATTAGGCAAGGGGATCCTCTGTCCCTTTACCTTTTTATCCTTGTATCTGAAATTTTCTCTAAAATGTTGGGGAGTTTAGTCTTGAGGTGGGAGTTTAAAGGTATCAAAATTGCCAAGGCTGGGCCTCAAGTTAGCCATTTACTATTTGCTGATGATCTCCTTGTATTCTGTGCTGCTGATTGTGTACATGCTAGTAGGCTCTTGATGTTGCTGGATAAGTACAAAAAATTTACAGGGCAGAAGGTTAACTAGAATAAATCATCCATATTTTTTTAGCAAGAATTGCCCTCATGAGAAACAAAGGGACATTTGCCAAACTCTGAATGGAATCCATGCTCATGCCTCTTCGAGATACTTAGGCTTGCCACTTGGCATTGGAAAATCGAAAAAAGAAGCCTTTGATTATGTTCTGACTGTTGTGAAGAAGAAACTGGTGAGTTGGAAAAACAAATTCCTTTCCTCAGCTGGGAAAGAGGTACTCTTGCAGGCTGTTATTGAGGCCATACCAGTATTTTCAATGTCTTGTTTCAGACTCCCAAAGTGCCTTTACAAGGACATTACTAGACTTTGTGCTGAGTTGTGGTGAGAAAAAGGTGATCAGCATTTGGGGGGGTTACACTGGAAAGCCTAGAGTAAAATCACACTTCCAAAAGAGCTGGGTGGGCTGGGGTTCAAAGATATATGTCTGTTCAATGAGGCTTTAATACTCAAGCAAATCTGGAGAATACTTACAAAACCAAATCTGTTGATTAGTAAGGTCTTGAAAGATAAGTACTTCCCAAAGTCCTCTATTCTTCATGCTTCCTGTCCTAGCTCCGCATCTTGGTTATGGTCATACTGGGTGAAAGTAAGGGATAAGCACAGACAGTTCTTTAAGGTACAAATTGGAGATGGATGTACCACAAACATATGATCCCTGGCTACTGGATTCTGGAAATGGGGGTAGTGGCCTAACTAAGAGAGATAATAACAATCTGGTGTGGGTGAAAGAACCGGTTGAGGAAAATAACAATAGATGGAATTCTGAAATCCTAAGGCAACTCTTCTCCACTCCAGATAGAGAAAATATCAGACAAATCAGCTTGGGGCAGAGGGGGACTAGGGACAGATGGGTGTGGACACTGGATCCAAAAGGCCTGTTTTCTGTGGCTAGTGCTTACTCAAACAGTGTGGCAAAGAAGCTTAGGGAGCTGGATATAGCTGAGGGGAGTTCAAGTGCTGATTTGGACAAGAAGGTGAGAAGAAGGAGCTGGGCATTGAAAGTTAAAGGTAAACTGAAACATTTCATCTGGAAATGTTACAACAATACCTTACCTACCAGCTGTAATCTGAAATCCAAGGGAATGGATGTGGAAGCCATTTGTAAATGCTATGGTGAAGGATGGGAAACTGTAGAGCACTTGTTTTTACATTGTGATAGAGCCAAACTCATGTAGAAAATAGCTCATGTGAACTGGGACAATCCTATAACTGTGATGCATAATTTCATAATGTGGTGGAACAACATTTGTTCAGTGGATAGAAGAGCCATTTCAGAGGATAGAATACAATTGTCTACTTATTTACTCTGGTGGCTCTGGAAATCGAGGAACTTATGGAA